TGGTCAGATGCGATTTGTTAATGACTATATGTGTAACGTAGCCAAGATTGAGTGAGGCCTTTTCCAGGACGATGGAGGTCGGTTGGCTTTTCGCGTTCTCATTGATTACTACTATACTTGCCCATAGGGTTGGCTTTTCTGAGCAGAGTCCCCCAATGAGGCGGTGACTGGCCTTTTCATACAGAGCCGTTTTCTGACGGTTATCGTTCATGGCGAGATCGATATAGGGAACAGAATTGTCGGGCGAGAACGCGTAAAGAGGCTTCGACGTAGATCATTAACAGTACCCATTAGGTAACTAGCCGTAGCTTCTGGTGACATTGAACGACGTGATACTGGGGTTTGACATACGAATGTCACTTGTGAGCTAAATTAAGCACTAGCCAATGACATGATGTTTGTCGCTCATTTTGCGGTCCTTTTGCACCCTGACACCGCATCGAGTGCGCTCGGAACGGTTTCGGAACACGTTCCGCAGTGACAACATTCTCTCTCGAGTCTTGCTCGAGAGGAACTGCGTTTTGCTTGTCTCCGTGTTACTCTGGAGTGAATTGAAGAAAACCTCGAGGCCTTTTCTCGCGTGAGTGGAGCACATCCCGGAACGTGCCTCCTCCCGAGTCCTTATTATCGGCTCATTCCGATAGCGCCATACTCCTGTTCCCTACCATTCACGCAATGCGACGTTTCCCATTCATCAACTCGTGGCCAAAACTATTCAAGTGACTGGATTAGTGCAAGCCTGTTACACAGATGGTAAACATCCTTTCCCAGTGCTCAAATGCGGAAAGCCGGACGCCTCCGGGCTATCGCCGAGATGCGAGGTCTGGCATCTCGGCGTTCTCGGCGCTTGAGAAATGCAGAACCCGCGGCGGCGGCCCCCGGAAACGCTACCGACGGCGAACGGTTCACTACCCGAGCCAACGTGCCAGCCTGCCACTGCCGCCAGGAACGCGCGCTGAAGCCATGTGACAGCGCGAGACACCAGATTGACCCGGGCCTCGGCCATGGATGCCGTTGGTGAGGCGCAGAACCACTGTACCACAGCCTCTGTAGATCTGGTAACGCGACTTTCCCGTGGCATATGTACATACCTACAACAGACCTCGATCCTGCGATCTCGGCGACAAACCCAACTCTTGTGTTCGCTCCACTTGGAGGAGACCAGGGGAATGCCACCGCGAATGGGCTTCCGCCGGCATGGACTGCCTTTCTGGCCCCGACCAATGATGTCATTTCAGTTCAGCCGTGTTTCCTCAATTGGGAAATTCTCCATTCTCCCGATTTGGGCAACACACACGAGGTGAGTAGAGAGCGGGTCTGGGACCTGTGAAGCGGCGTCACTGAGCCGTGTTGTGGTGTAGTGGCTGATGCTCAACTTTCGAACCCCGAGGCCGGGCTCTGAGAGTTCTCAGAGTTTGGTGCTAGACGTTCATCCAAATCCCGACGGGTACCGGACACCCTTCGGATTCCGGCAGGCTTGCTCAGAGATGAAGTCCAGCTACGGGCACTTGGGAGTGAAGAGCATGGCAGACCTGTCTGAATAAGTAGGAAATGGCATGAACGAGCTTCCGAGGGGCGCAACCCTCGGTGTTTTCTCAAAGCGATCAAAGGCTAGCCTAGCCGTTGAAGTGCATGTAAGTGGCCTGATGGACGCCGTCTTCACCCAGCATATCCCATGCCAGGCCCCATCCTTTATGCTTGTCAGCGAGTTTTCTCCGCATCGCAGAAAGGCTGGAATTTGAGATGTCCCCCCTCGATGTCGACATTGACGGAATCTAAAGAGTCCCCCGCAACATCTGGGGAGGTTGAGCAAGAGACTGGGTCATGACTGATGTATCCCGGCAAAAGAGACCAGCTGGGCAGTGGTGGTGGAACCCCCGCCGTTGTCGGAGGGGCCAGGAGAGACAATGGACCAATCCGAGCGGCGGAAAACACGAGTTGAACCTGAGAAAGTTGGCGGTGGTCAGTGTCGGAACGTCGGGTTCACGATAACGCTATTGAAGGTTGAAGGTGTCCAACAACGTTGCGCTACCCAAGTAGTTATTCCAACAGAGCCTCAAGCTAAGGGTCCAGAATTGGAGTTGCCTCTAGAGCAACACTAGAGACAGCAGATCTACCACTCAAAAAGCAGCAGCAAGATTGATCATTTTGGACCTTTGCACCACCTCAGCAACGAGAGGTGGAGAAAACAAGGGGTGACTGAAGGACGCTAGGAAACCTCAAAATGGAGCTTCTCTGTGGACCTCGGCCAACCCAAGCTTGCATTCGTCTGCCTTCCAATTGGCCGTGTGTCCCACCAAAGCTTCAGAAATCATCGAGGAAAGCCACCCTTGCCCGGGCGACTTACGTCGTGTCCTGGGGTTTCTGCTTCGTAACTTGAACGCCCTGAGTGGGAGGACAGAGCTCATGGGGCTCCAGAAGCCGAGGAAACTGGGGCAAGCAAGAGGAAGAGGGAGAGAAAGAGAGAGAGAAGAAGAGGGAGGGGCCGAGGTGTAAGGAGGGTCCCCTCCCACTTATGTTATCGTCCTATTTCTTTTCTCTCTGCCATGGAGCTTTAGATTATTTATGTTTTCATCTTCCCTCCATTGGATCGCCCCCCCGGAGACCCTCTTTGATCTGTTCTTTTCTTGATCTGATTTACCATTTGCCGCTGCCGTTTGTTGGTGTCCGACATTAGCAAGCATCACGCGCCATTTCCCCCGAAGCGCAAAACATATCTCCCATCTCCGAATCGACGAGAAGCGAGAAACCGCTGACAAGATGGGTTCCGAGGACGAGAAGCCTTCTACCTACCGGTATAACGAGAAGCCGACTTACACCACCTCCAATGGCGCCCCCGTCGAGAACCCCCAGGCGTGGCAGCGCATCGGTCCCCAGGGCCCTCTGCTGCTCCAGGACTTCCACCTGATTGACCTGCTGGCCCACTTTGATCGCGAGCGCATTCCCGAGCGTGTCGTCCACGCCAAGGGCGCCGGTGCTTACGGCGAGGTTCGTGAGACGGTTCTTTTTGGTTGTGTTATGTCGGAACGGGCGTGAAGCTTGGTGAATTTTGAGAGAAATATGCTGACCAGCGTTCGCGCGCGCGGCTTTACAGTTCGAGGTCACCCATGACATTAGCGATATCTCCTCCATCGACATGCTCAATCAGGTCGGCAAGAAGACCAAGGCTCTTGTCCGTTTCTCGACTGTCGGTGGTGAGAAGGGCTCTGCCGATTCGGCTCGTGATCCCAGAGGTTTCTCTGTCAAGTTCTACACCGAGGAGGGAAACTGGGACTGGGTTTACAACAACACGCCCATTTTCTTCATCCGCGACCCTGTCAAGTTCCCTCCCTTCATTCACACCCAGAAGCGTCACCCGCAGACTAACCTGAAGGATGCTACGATGGTAAGTGTTGAAACCCCCAGAATTCTCATGAGATGACTTGAGCTAACTTGAACCAGATGGTAAGCGTTAAGATGCAGCAACTCATCACAAATCGCATACTAACTCAATCTCCCAGTTTGACTACTGGACCAAGAACCAAGAGTGCATCCACCAGCTGATGCACCTGTTCTCCGACCGCGGCACCCCTTACTCTTACAGACACATGAACGGCTACTCGGGCCACACCCACAAGTGGACCAAGCCCGACGGCTCCTTCGTCTACGTCCAGATCCACCTCAAGACGGACCAGGGCAACAAGACCTTCACCAACGAGGAGGCCGGCAAGATGGCGTCCGAGAACCCGGACTGGCACACCCAGGATCTCTTCGAGGCCATCCAGCGCGGCGAGCACCCCAGCTGGACCGTCTACGTGCAGACCCTGACCCCGGAGCAGGCCGAAAAGTTCAAGTGGAACGTCTTTGACCTGACCAAGGTCTGGCCGCAGAGCGAGGTGCCGCTGCGCCAGTTTGGCAAGCTCACCCTCAACCAGAACCCCGAGAACTACTTTGCCGAGATCGAGCAGGCCGCCTTCTCCCCCTCCCACCTGGTCCCCGGCGTCGAGCCCACCGCCGACCCCGTCCTGCAGTCCCGCCTCTTCTCCTACCCGGACACCCACCGCCACCGTCTCGGCGTGAACTACCAGCAGATCCCCGTCAACAAGCCCCTGAATGCCTTCAACCCCCTCCAGAGAGACGGCGCCATGGCTGTCAACGGCAACTACGGCGCGAACCCCGTACGTCACCCCTCAAGCCCCGATCTACGTACTATATGCATGGTGAGAATGACCGAACTAACTCTTCCCAGAACTACTCCTCGACCTTCCGCCCTCTCGAGTACAAGCCCGTCAAGGCCGTCAACACCCCGCACGAGCAGTGGGCCGGCGCCGTCGTCACGGACCTCTTCGGCCCCGTCAAGCCCGAGGACTACGAGCAGGCCCTCGGCCTCTGGAAGGTCCTCGGCCGCCAGGAGGGCCAGCAGAAGAACTTTGTCAGCAACGTGTCTGGCGCCCTCGCCGGCGCTCACCCCGAGGTCCGCTCGCGCGCGTACGAGATGTTCTCGCGGGTTACCCCCGAGCTCGGCGCCGCTATCATGAAGGAGACGGAGAAGATTGCCGAGTATGTTGATTTCTTCTTTCGTTCCCGGGGACTGAAAAGCCTTGATGATGACCTGTGAATGAGTATACTGACTTTTTCTTTTCTCCTAGGCCTACCAAGGATGTTCGCTCCAAGTTGTAAAAATATAGATGGAATGGTTGATGAGAAACACCCAGATTCGCGCTGAAGAACGGCGCTCCGAGGTCTCGATGTAGTGCCGGAGCCGCGGGCGTCGACGTTGCACAAGGCTCCCAGAATCAGTTCGAGGGGAGAAGAATAAGAGACTGTCGAGATACCATATCAGGACAATACTGACGAGACAGATAGCTCAGAGCATCTAAAACAAGGAGGGAAAAAAAATCATAATTTGTTCAAAAATCAGTTGAAAATCGTACAAAAAAGTGACACTGTCACGGGCATGAAATTCGATGCCCTGGTATATGTTTGCGCCTGAAACCACCGCCTATTCAATCACTCATCCGCTACGAGCCACCCATTTGATATCGAACTCTCGCTCGCGAATTCCTCAGTCTCCTTCTCTCACGGATTCCCAATGAGAGTAGTCTTGATCTTGGTCGGTCTACGATACACCCTCCATCTCGAAACGATATTCGGTCTATACAGAAAGTAACGTCCACTGCGTTGACCATCTTCTGGGTGTGTCTCGAGGGAAACGACACCCAAAAGTGCCTTCGACGTGTGACGTTCCGATACGACTTAACAGCAGCAGCAGCAGCACTCGCAGCATTCGTAGCAACAGAGGCCGGCGCAGAGACCGCAGCAGACAGCCTACCGAGAAGAGCATAACACGTTAGCCAATTATGTGCTTTTGAGCGTGTGGTTGAAGAGAAAAAGAATCCCAATCGCGTTTTCCAGCGCTCTATTTCTGATTTCTCGAGCTCTACCAAAATTACAGACAGCGTAGGAATATCGAAGAAGGGGAGGGATTGGGTCGGATTTTTTTTCAACTTACTCCGCCATCGCCGCCACCTCGCAGGTTCGCTGATTGATCCATCGTCATCGGCTGATTCGGGCCCTGATAGGATTAGAGGTCTCCGGTTAGCTCGGGTTTTGGGAGAGGTCTTGTTCCTTTTGCGAGGTCTGGCTGATTCGAATCGATGCGACACCGACAATCACCAGAGAAGAGGGGAAAACCAAAACCGACATGGTAAGTATGGAGATGGCTGAAGGGAGCGAACATACAGGTTGCTGAGAGCTAATCTTTTGTTCCGAGAGCACGGCTGGCGCAGGCTCTCTTGGCATCTGATTGTACTCGATCTGGGACGACATTGCTTCTACGCGCGCGCGTGTGCGATTAAGGATTACAAAGGCGGAAATGTCGTGTGTACGTATTCGACCGATAGAATTTGCAAAATCCTGGCGCGAGGTCTATCCAAAGAAAAGATCTCGTTTGACTCGTCCGTGGGTGACAGGAAACGAAGGTCTTGTTGTGTGTGTGTCTAAGTCGAGTTGACGTTGCCTTGTAGGTGTGTGCAAGAGACAGAAACAAATCGCACCTGGAACCCCAAGTCACAGCCAACGCGCAAAACAGGCGATTGGCCGTTTTATTTGAAAAGAGAACCAACAGAAAAAAAGCGACAGGGCACAAGGAAGAAAGTTATCTGGGAACCCGAAGTTTGAGAGGGTGCGTGGCCCACGGTTTTGTCCGGGGGCTACCCCTTCACTTCGGGCTCTCTCTTCCTGCATGATGAAGAAAGGCAGACTTTGGAGGTTGAGGCCACAGCTTGGCGCTCAGGTGCAGGGCAAAGGCAGCAGGGGCGGAGGGGGAGAAGGGACCAGATTGACGACCGTGGGCTGACAGGCCTTGGTGTCTCTCCCCTCTCCTCCTAGTCTCTTTCTACATGGTCACATAGTAATAGTCTCTACTCTTCAAGTACATACCTTGCCTTGTCTACCTTATGTCCCCGCAGGTTGAGTTTCTGCGTGGATGTATGTAGACGAGGGAGGGGGGACCCCTCTGTACCTACGACACCCGGTGTGTAAGAGTCACCTCGAACCGGCACATTGAGTGCGAGGGAGGTCGAGGACAGTTACAAGGATGGATGAGGCTTAGATCAGGCGGTCCCTCCATCTTGAGAGGGGCTCATGGATGGGGACACCTTCGTTCGGTGTGTTTGGGGTTTTTTTTTCTTTTTCATTTCAAGTGAAGGAAGGGTTCAGCTGCCGACCGATCTACGGGATACGTCTGTTCTGCTTCACTTGTTCTCTCTTTCTCGCCTTCATTCGTGGGTTTGAGTGTGTGTTCGCTGGCAGCGTGATGCGAACTCGGGGTATCCTTTCCTGCAGACAGCGCTGAGACAGGGCTCGCGCCTGACCTTTTGGCTGTGCTGTGCAACTGCGGTTGAAAGGGTGTTGGGGTGTCCCGGGGAGGGGATCCTGGGTTGGGGCCAAACGGGGGTGGAATGACCTCAGTTTAGGGAACGAGATAATCTTCAAAGGGGATTGGAGGGAGGGGAAAGGGTTACCGAATGCGGCTTGCGTTGTTGGTAATGGAGAAGAGAAGTGGTTGAGGCGTCGTCGCACGGTGAAGTGGTATTAGGCAGGCAAGAAAATGGGAAACTCTCTTTTGCTGACCTTGCATTTCGCGTTTGCGTTGCCTGCGAGTTGGGATGATCTTTTCGGTGTCAAGTCGTCGTCGTCGTCGTCCTTTGGTTGAGAGTCTATGCAATGCGATGTGCGGGTACTATTATTTTTCTGCTATGGATCCAAGTCCGTTCACCAACTAGTGCAAGGCTTACTAGTCTTTCGCATTTCCCTTCTGATTTCCTTTGATTTTTTTCTTCCTCATATCCAGAGGCTGCTGCGCTGGCACACCGGGCTTCGGTGACATGCTACCTTTGCCTAGATACCTAGATATGAAAAGATCCCGGAGGACCCGATCGCGCGGGATCGCGCAACGCTGACTCGTTCGCCAGTTGATGGGGGGAGTTGCGGGACGGAGTGACGACTGCCATAGCCCGCGCGCCGAACCCGAGCGCGATCTGACGTGGTATCCGTATGTGCGGGTTGGTTTGCTATTACTTTAGATAATGCAGGGTTACAGGGTTCATGGACTATTTTCGGGCCTCAGAAATATATACGCGGGAACCATGATCCCCCCTCCCTCAGGCTCTTCCCCTTCCGCCCAATCAGCCTCGGCTCGAGGCGGTTTCGTGTTCTACCCGTCACTTCAAAGGCTCAGACGAACAAAACGATTCAGGGGAGACATTCTGCTTCTGGCGTCGTAGCGAAGGATGTTTTGGGAACATTCTTGCCGCCGCCGAGAGAAAAACGCGGGCAAGGGGATCATATACCGGGATTTAGGTGGAAGCCTAGAAAGGGTTTGGTGGGATCTTGTGTCCCCAATTCGAAACGGTGACACTTTCGATGGAGAGTCCAATGGGAAGGTTGCGAGGCGTAGCGTGCAGTACGTCTGAGGGTTGGACTGAAGATGCAGCTTGTTTGGATGTTCACTGCCTGCTTGACCTTCCACGGCGAGCCTAGGGGCTGTGTGACCGTACCTCAAACCCGTATCAGGTACGAAAAAGGAGTTGCGGCGGTGGAGTCCCCGTACGCAGTTTCGTTCCATAGCTGGGATTCATCGGCCTGGTTTGCCGATAAATCTCTTTGGTCTGCGGTGAAGAGTACTGATATCTTTGCCGAGATATGCAGGGGATCGGGCAGACTTTGTTGAGGGGCATTCTACGCAAGGCTGACTGCAGAGTCCCCGACCATCGGAGCTTGAAGCGGGCAGAACGGGGGCATGTCGAAGCGACGGCCGGCGTTCGGCGGGTTCGGAGCCGGTGCCGGTCAGCGGATCTCACGGCGCCGGTGTGCCCGAAAACCGAAGGAGACGAGAGTGTCTCGGAAGGAAGCAAATCGCCAGATGGAACCTGAGGTGCCGCTGACATTGCAGGCTAAAAGATCTCCCGGGCCAGCGCTCGTGTATCATCATTCTAACGGCAGCACCTCGAGAATACTTCCTAAATCAGTGAGATCAGTAATCATTTAGCAAAAATTGACAACCCCCCTTGTCTCGAAGAATAAGAGCTGTCGGGTCAATAAGCACAGGGAAATTGCGAGTAGACGGCAGATCGAGCAGTTACGATCAATTCAACCATTGTAATTCAAATATTTGTGCATACAGCTCATAGCTCAAGCCTACAATAAAGACCCTGATTCTCTGTCGCGGATCGGCGTACGCCTTCTAAAACCAACATTTGTAGATTCAGCCCAGCCGCCCGTCATCCCTTGTCAGCGAGTCAATCGGAGGGCGTAGAGTGGATTCCCCGCCGAGACGACCTTAGTCTCCCCGCCCCGCCCCCGGCCGATCAACAACTTCAAGCTTAAAAGGTGCCGGTAGTAAGCTTTACTCCCAACAGCCAACTACGTCTCTTTTCTCATTTCTGTAGCTGGTGAATTGAGAACGAGACAACCCTGAGCCATCAATTGTTTGTTTTATGAGATACGTGGTAGAGTAAAAAGTCGCGACTATGTCTACCTCGCAAACGGAGCTCCAGTACCTCACCCCGCACACCGGGGCCACGGTCCCGATCCCGGAATCCTCAAAAGCGGCAGTCTCGACGACGCGCGACCGGTACACCACCGCCGCAACAGAGTCCGGCACCAGCAGAAGAAGCAGCGGCGATGAGAACGGCGTCGCCGCCGATGGTGTCCTCCACGACGCCCACAGCGCGAGCCAGGAGTTCTCCTCCCTCCCGCCCGTCGACGGCGGAAAGCAGGCCTGGCTCTTCTTGGCTGCTTGCTTCGCCGTCGAGATGCTCGTCTGGGGGTTTCCCTTTGCCTTTGGCGTCTTTCAGAATTACTACTCCACGAACCCGCCGTTCGCTGGGCAGCCTAACATTGCCGTCATCGGTACCTGCGCCATGGTAACCCCCTCCCCCTTTCACTCACTCTTCTTACTGACACCCTCCCTTTCTCCTCTCGAAATCTCGAGCAAGGAGCCACAACCCGGACCAAACTGACATCTTGACAAAGGGAATAATGTACCTAGGCGGACCCATCCAAACCGCCCTCCTCCGCCTCTACCCCCGCCAAACCCGCTACGCCCCCATCGCAGGCCTCCTCATCATGTGCATTGCCCTCGCAACCTCCTCCTTCTCCACCACGGTAACCCACCTCATCGTAACCCAGGGCATCCTCTACGCCATCGGCGGCGGCATCACGTACATGCCCTGCATAGTCTACATCGACCAGTGGTTCGTCCGCCGCAAGGGCTTCGCCTACGGCATAATGTGGTCCGGCACCGGCCTCGCCGGCGTCTTACTCCCCTTGCTAATGGAATACCTCCTCGGCACCCTCGGTTTCCGCACCACCCTCCGCCTCTGGTCCGGGTTACTCTTCGCCCTCACCGCGCCGCTGGCCTTCTTCATCAAGCCGCGCGTACCGGTGTCCATGACGACGACGACGACATCGTCAGCGGACGCAACGCACGCGCGCCCGTTCAACAACATGCGCTTCCTCCTCTCCCGCCCCTTTCTCCTACACCAGGCCGCAAACACAATCGAGGCCCTGGGCTTCTTCCTACCGGGGATTTACCTCCCCTCCTACGCCCAATCCACGCTCGGCGCGTCCCCCTACGCGTCGGCCCTCACCATCCTCCTCATCAACGTCGCCTCCGTCGTCGGCTGCGTGGCGATGGGGACCCTGGTCGACCGCTGGTCCGCGCCGTCGTGCCTAGCCCTCGCCAGCGCCGGCGCCACCGTCGGGACTTTCTTGCTGTGGGGCCTTTCGCTGAACTTGGGGGTGTTGTACCTCTTCTGCGTGGTGTACGGCCTCTTTGCGGGCGCGTATACGTCCGCCTGGCCGGGGATCATGAAGACGGTGACGGAGCACGAGAGGGAGCGCGGGAGGGGTGTCGATCCGATCATGGTGTTTGGCATGTTGGCGGCCGGGCGCGGGGTCGGGAATGTGATTTCGGGACCGTTGAGCGGGGTGTTGGTGCAGGGGAAGCCGTGGGCTGGGGAGGCTGGGTTTGGGTACGGGAGCGGGTATGGGACGTTGATTGTGTTTACGGGGGTCACGGCCTTCGTGGGGGGTGCTACGTTTGTGTGCAAGAGGCTTGGGTGGTTGTGAGATGGTCGTCGCCGAGGTTGGAAGAATCAGGGAGTTGGATAGAGGATGATGGATCCAACGGTTGTGTTTGTCGGTAGCAACTGGTGTACAGCTTGCAAAATGAAGAGGCCACCGTGAAAGGTGAAAGGAATAACTTGTAGATCTAGCCTTATTGCGATCTCGCATGCGATTCCCAAGGCTGCTGCCTCTAAGGTATGATACAACAGCCAACTCATATCCTTCTTGAGCTGCCCCCTTACCCCTTTCTCCTTTCCCCTTTCCCCTTTTTTATTTTCCGTAGCGGTAAAGCAGCCACCTTTTTATCCCAAGTCTCTTGATTCTTGATCCCGTAATGCGATAGATGCTTTTATAGTAAAACAATGACCACCAACCCTTTTTTTCCGCGTATCAAAGACGCCTTAGATAAAAAGAGAAAAAGTCACAAATGCGATTCTTCAAAGACAGCAACAAAGAGAAAATGCCCCTCTCACGGGTAAACAGAGTCACCGCGAGCAAGCAGCGGCCTCTGATCCCACTGGTCCTCATCAATGCTCTCATCATCACCCTCCTCTTCGTCATCACTCGCAAACTCGTCGGTCCGGTACATGAAGTACTGGGCAAAGATGCCCATATCAAGCAACAACGTCCCCAGACTGCCCGCCAACCAGCTCAGGTTGACGAGCATATAACGGCCGTAAATAGCGCTCGCCTCGCCCGGCGCGCACTCGTCATGCTTGCAACGCGGGTCGTAGGCGAAGATGCTCAGCACGTACGTCAGGTTGCCGAGGCAGGCGAAGAGGAAGAAGAGCATGCTCACGCCCTCGGTGGACTTGCGGCGGTAGTTGAGGAGGAGCTGGGGCAGGCGGGAGCCGAGGTAGAAGACGGCGCAGAGCCAGCCAAAGACCTGGCCGAGGGTGTTGAAGGTCAGGGTGGTGTCGTCGTCGTCGTTGGGCTGGTGGTGGTTGCCCGGTTCCTCGGCGTGCGGGGAGTACTTGCGGCTCAGGAACCAGCCGACGACGCCGGCGGCGCAGACCATGAGGACGGCGGTGGTGTTCCAGGCGACGGCCTGGAGCGCGGTGGACGGTCGCGGGGGAGGGGCCGGGGCGGCGCTGCCGCCGACACCGCTTTCGGGGCGCATGGGTACGGCGGGGGAGAGGTTGGACCAGTCTGAGCCGCGGCGCTCGCGGTCGACAATGGGGTTGGGGAGGAGGCCGGTGCGCTCGTTGGGTTCGCCGGTGCGGTTGCGCGGCTTCGGGGCCGGGGGCACGACCTCGTCTTTCCAGGTGAAGCCCCTGTAGTAGAAGCACTGGGCCAGGAGGACCATATCGGCAATGGTGTAGTAGATGGCGAGGATGATCTAAGGGGCAAGGAGTCATAGCGTCAGCCGGGGTTCTCATGCAGTGGTGAAGGTAGGCTGGAGAAGGGACGTTGGGCAAGGGGTTCTCTGTCTGGTGTAGGTGACTCACCATGGTAGGGAGGACGCCCTGGAGGACGGCGCCCAGTATGTTGAAGACATCGCCGGCGAGCCAGACGATGATGAACTGCAGAGAGAGACCGTCTGCGCTGCCGCGGCGGAAGTTCTCGAGGATCTGGGGGGAGAAGACGACGACCCAGCAGGCGATTGAGATGGAGCTATGCGCATTGTGTGAGCCATTGAGGAATGCAATTGATGGATTTGGTAACGGGATTGCGGAAAGTCATGCTTACCCGCAAATGCCAGATATGGCCTCGACGTCGAGGTTGAGCGGTGCGGTAGGGGGCGCCATGATGCGATTTCGGAGGGGGGGTGGGCAATGCGACGACCAGAGAGGATCAATGAAAGGGGAGAGAAGGGTAGGTAGGTATCGGTGGATGCAAGCTATAAGAATTGAAGAGAGATTTTCTAGAACAAAGAAAGATTAAACGACTAGATGGAGATGAATTCTACAAACAAAATGCCAGGTGAGCGCTCATCCAAGACGCACCAGCAACAATGGGGTTTGGGGCAATGAAAAAAGATGGAGGAAGAAGTTTTCCTGGTCTGTCCCTCCCGAAATCTGACGATGAAAGTAGGAAAGACTTTTTTTTCCGTATGCATGCCACCCGGAATGAGAGACATCTGCATTCGCGAAAGTCACCACCACCTAATTTGCAGGGCCCTTTTTTTTTTCTTCTTCGGTCGCCGCTCGCGCCGTCCGAGTCCACGTGCGCTGGCAAGTTTTCTCTCAGCTGGGATTTTAGCGACTGGTCACGACGTCACTGACCAAGCCGGAAGAGGGAATCCAAAATGCGGGGGAATCGAGCGCTAACCATGCGCTGAAACGCCCACTTTTTTTCATCGGCAGGTACCTTACCTAGCTGGCCGTCCTTTGGTTTTGCTCAAGCTGTCCGGGTGTGCATGTCAGCTTCGCCTAACTTTCAGGTAGGCCTTCTTCACACTTTACACCACGTGTATCTGATGTAAAGGGAGTGCCGTCAGCTGAGGCGTCTTGAGTTACCTCCTCGTTGCCGAATCTTAACCAGATTTCCTCACGGCGGAAGCTTACCTGAAGTACCTATATCGAAAGATCGTGATTTGGTTCGGAGGATTAGTTTCAACCCCGGCGCAAGCTCGGATTTGGACTCGTCTCCACTGGACGGAAGTAGACAGGCATCACCTTACCTAATCAGAGGTACGAACCTTCACCATCTCGTTGCTGACCAATTTGGCTATCGCTGTCTGCACCTTTCCCACCTCCAAACTTGCACGAACACTGGGCACCTATTTGAATGATGTCTTATTGCAGTCGTTTTGCTAGCGCATCACTGCATATTTTAACACATCCAACCCATGTATCAGTCTATGCGACTACCTCAGGCCTTGGACTCACTCTCAAGAACCCAGTCTCTAACCGTCGTGACATTCTCCACAATCAACGGCCAGATGAGGTTCGTCGCGGCATCCTTCGCCTCAGTGCTGAAGCCAGCAGTCGCATCGGATCTGTATACCTTTTGTCAGCAAAAGAAGAATACTTCCACACACTGCAACGCCTTGGGGCACTCACAAAAGGGTAACATGGAAGCCACTGCGCATCCGTCGAAGCACGCATTGTCAGTTCATACCCTCTCCTCAAATATTTGTTTCTTCCGCCCAATGTCCACTTACAGCTCTCTCGCGTCCCGCGCCGTGGATTCAAGACAGGTATTGGCAATCATGCCTGCCATAACGAGGTGCGTAACACCCCTCTGTCGCAACTGATAGTTCAAATCGGTATTGGCAAACCCGCTGTAACACATCAATATTCGATGCCTCGGACCAAGGCCCTCAATACCCCTCGCAACAGCCTCACCTATTATTCCAATGCCGGCTCGCAACAACGTCCCCGTTCCCCACCACATCCGGCTCAAGCCCCTCCAAGATCTCCGCGCCCCAGCTGCCCTCCGTAATGCCCTTGGCGGCCGCCAGACCCTTGTGCGAGGGCGTGAGGTGCGTCCACCCGGCATAGTTTCCCTCCTTCCACGTCTTGTGCAGGGCGTAAAAGATGGGGATCTTTTGCTTGCGCGCCGCGGCGACGAGGGTGCGCAGGTTATCGTTTGTGCCCGTCGCCTCGAGGGATTCTTTTACGGACGGGTAGATTTTGCCCTCGTGGTGGAGGAATTCGTTGTAGGGGTCCACGAGGACGATTGCTGTGGTGGGAGGGGTCATGGTGATGGTGATGGTGATGTTTGGGTTGATTACTTATGTTTTGGATTTTTGGGAGCTTGAGTTGGGATGGTGTAAAGGCTGGATGATATAGACAGATCGAATTCTAGTCATCGAATAATAGATAATGAGACTCTTTATACAAGGTAAGGAGGCTAGACGACGGTGATCACCATCCAGTGCAGTCGAACAACGGATGACAAATTTCAGGCTTGGAGCGGGCGTATGGGCTCTGGCACAGTGACACACCACAGCCAACAAAATTCCCGCCGATTAGATGAACGTCCCGAGCAGGACCCGGTTAACATGTGCAGTACACCTGCTTCACCCTATGTGAATCGGATTTTCTTATCCCTCCACCCCTCACTCTGACCACGGCAACACGTATACGTGTACAGATCATGCCCAAGAATCGTCTCACACAGAGGTCGTCACAATCACGCTTGCCGCGGGGTAGCAAAGTGGGATGACCAATCTCGCAAGACCAAAGCGGGCTCGGTCACAATAGACGACTCCTCAATCTAAACCTGGACCGGGAACGGACTCTCGGTCGAATTGAATACGACTTTATGATGCAAGTGCAACTTCACCCCCATGATTTTTGGGGTGTATGAGGAACAAATGGTGTTGACGTAGAAACAGCCCGCACCTCCCCACGTCTGGTGAAATTGGTCAGCAAAGTGGTTCTTGTTATCAGGGACGGTTTCGGCGTCCGCGCCTTCGGCCGGAAACCCCTCGACACAGTGTGCGAGATAAGTACTTCTCAAAGAGCCCGGTAACACGAATCTCGTTTGCCTCGCCAGGTTTTGACTTCGTCATGCAGGAATCTACGGCGCGCTCGACACGAACGGTCAAGACCAGTCCCCAAAGTCCCCCATCCACAACCCAGGATCAGGAGCAGACTAACCTGGTGGAATTGGTCTGCTTAATCATGAGTTATGAGGCACTCCCACATCCATACCCGTACCTCTCCTTGGTCTTTAAAAACCCTCCCCCTGAATATCTGTACACAGGTTTTGATTACAAATTTCGATAAGGCACACCAACCACATGAAAGCATCAAACGAAACCCCCACGCCTCGCGCCCTACCTACTACGACATCAACGCCGAAAGCTTCCGCTTCCACTCCTCCAGCGCCCGCTCGCTCTCAACAAGCCTCTCCCGACTCGTCTCCAGCTCGGCGCGCAAGCTCCTATTTTCCGCCCTCAACCCAGCCGCCTCTTCAACAGCCTTCTCCCCCAGCGCAGCCTGCGCCCTAAGCTGCTCCATCTCCGACGCCGAGACGCGGCCCACGTCCGCCGCCCGCCTGGCCACCGCGAGCTCGCTGTTGCGCAGGTGTAGCTCCCGCTGCATCTGCGCGACCTGGCCCTCGACGTCGCCGACCTTGTGCCGGAGCTCGTGGGCTGTCTCGAGCTCGGCGTATAGGAGCCGAAGCGCGGCGTCGACGTCTGTTGGGAGGGTCGTGTAGCGGGATTTGCGCGCGGCTGGTGCCCGTGCTGTGGATGTGCTGGTACGGGGCGGGTCATCCCGTGAGGTTGCTGCTGTTGAAGTTGTCGGCGGAGGTAGGGGGGTGATTCCGGTGCGAGTGGTGCTTGATGAAGGGGCTGCGGCTGTTTCCTCTCTCGCAGCGGAAGGGGATGCTTTGGCGGTACGAGTCCTCCTGGCGGACGTACTGGGCGTGTCTTTCGACGCCTCGGTTGTCCTGTTCGTCTCTTGATTCTGGTGAACTTGGTGCGAATTTGATAGATCTTGCCGACCCATGTCATTAGTTGAGGGTGTAGCTCCCGCTGCCTCAGCTGCCTCCACAGGGGCCGATGATAATGAAGAAGCAGCCAAAGGCCGCATCTCCGGCATTAGAAACGGGGGATCTTTGTGCCAGTTCCGGTGCACGCACACTTCGCAAAAGAAGCAACTATTGCCCTCAACGACAGAGTAAGTGCTCTCTTCGGGCCTGCAGGACTCGTGATACGACCTTTTGCAAGTGATGCAGTAGGTGAGACCCTTGGTCTGCCGGCAAATGAAGCAGAATTCATCGTGCTGTGCCCCGGCTTCTTTTTACCCGATATCGTTGTTAGTAGGTAGACTATCAAGCTTCGGGTGTGTTTCAACTTTCTTACCTTTCCAAGCTTTGTATCGTTCCAGAGCAGCGGGGATGGGAAGCGCTCGTGGGTCAACTGAGCTTTCAGACTCCAGTGCTTGTTCTTCTGTTGGTAGATGATCGAGTTCCCCCGACTCTTTTCTGGCAGTATTGGGGTTCACGGAGCCACCACGCGCACCACGAGACCTCCCGCGACGAGTTGGCTGTGCTGAACGTAGACGTTTCCTCGGCGGCTCCCTGCTTTCGTCGTTGTCCATGACTTCGCTTTTTATGTATATTCGGATACGCTGTGGGAGAGAGTAGTATAGGATCTTCTTGGTGAGAGACCGAATGGGTATAGCCACTGCTGGGTATCTGAGAGCGTCTGCCAATATAGAGGGAATCGCATGGGAAGATGAATGTGGCTGGGTACTCGGCAATTTGGTGGTGAGATTGTGCAATGAACGATCGTGCTGACTAATGACGCTGGCGCTGCTACCTCCTAAGCGACAATGCCTCTTAGTCAAGAGACACAATATAAGGATCAAACAAGCAGTAACATAAATGCTGTTACCTTATTGATTCTCGTTCACAGTCCGAAAGTCAATACAGATGACACAGTGTTAGAACTCAGAGCAGAGGGGTGCTTTTAGGACTCGAGTACATGTTGTAGCAATCACGCTATCTGTGTCCCAAATTTGTCATCGAAATGCCAGCCAGATTGCTCAAAGGGGAAAGGAATCCCGCAGTTGGCGTGGGTTTCTGCTGACCAATTTGGGCCACAGGAGCGGGTGTTAGTTGCCGGTGAATTATCCTCGGTTGTTGGGAAGAGAAGCTCAGTGTACTCCTCTGAGAGGGTTTTCCACATCCCCCGTCGAGTTTTCTGATGAAACTCTCGGAAGTGATTATTATTCATTTGCCTCGAGTACACGCACTTTGAACTCCAGGGCTCAGAGAACGACAGCTTTCAACGAAGAACAATGTTCAACACGACAACCAGTAGCCCCGCCGGGTCTGATAGCAACGAGAAGAACTTCGAAGCGGGTGGCCCCGAGGATCATGGCGTCAAGAGTAGGCTACAATTGGAATCGACCGAGCCCGACAGCCATAGGGATTCTACCACGTATAAAACGTATCATCAGAGCGAGGACAACAGCTTGCCCAACCAGTCAACTGATGTAGTTGATCGTGTCATAAGTCGTATTGCGAGTAGAGTCACCTCACGATCGACCATAACCCCTGGACCGCCACCCGATGGCGGATTAAGAGCTTGGTTGTGTGGTAAGTTGTATCAAGACCAAAGGTTTCTGTACTGAGAATGCTCCATTTACTCACCTTTCCCATCTTGGACAGTCTTTGGCACCTTTCTCGTCGTGATGAATACATGGTATGATCCTAGAAACCGAAACCTTTCTCAACCAAATAACTAAAAGAGAACGATGCCAGGGGCATGATAAACTCCTTTGGCGCCTTCCAGAGCTACTACATCCAAACCCTCGACCGCAGCCCCTCGGACATATCCTGGATCGGCTCCGTCGAGATCTTCCTCCTCTTCTTCATAGGCACCTTCACCGGCCGCCTCACGGACGCGGGCTACTTCCGCTCCGTCGCGACAGCCGGCTCCGTCCTCGTCGTCGCGGGCACCCTGGCGGCCTCGGCCTGCACGCGGTACTGGCAGCTCCTGCTCGCGCAGGGGGTCTGCGTCGGCCTGGGCAACGGGTGCCTCTTCTGTCCCACGGTCGCCCTCGTCTCGACGTACTTTGCCAAGCGGCGCGCCTTTGCCATCGGGATTACGGCCTGCGGGAGCGGAGCGGGCGGCGTGGTGTTTCCCATTGTCATTCGGGAGATGTTGCCGCGTGCCGGGTTCGGCTGGACGATGAGGACGCTCGGGTTCACCCAGGCCGCTGCGCTGTTCACCGCCCTGTCTTGTCTGAAGCCGAGGGTGCCGCCTCGCAAGACGGGGAGCTTGGTGGAGTGGGCGGCGTTCAGGGAGTTGGAGTATACGTTCTATGCCGTGGGGGCATCCTTGGTACGTTGGTTTCCTAAAGAATCATTCGTCTCTTCCTAGTCCAGCCACCAAAGTACCCAACCCCTGAGTTCAAACGAATGTTAACCTCTGTTGGAACTGGACAGTGCTTCTGGGCGTCCTACATCGTCTTCTTCTTCCTCGCAGCCTACGCCCGCGACATCCAAGGCGCCTCCTACGACACATCCCTCGACCTCCTCATAATCACAAACGGCGTCGGCATCCTCGGCCGCCTCGTCCTCAACAGCCTCGCAGACCGCGTCGGCAACCTGACAATGTTCGTCCCCACCGCCGGTGCCGCCGCAGTGCTGGCGTACTGCTGGGCGGCGCTGCCCATCGCCTCCTCCTCCTCGCGGGTGGGTCTCTACGTCTGGGCTGCGTTGAGCGGTATTGCACTGGGCGGCATCCAGGCGCTCTTCCCCTCCGCGCTGGCGTCGCTGACGGCCGATCCGAGGAAGCAGGGGGCACGCATCGGCATGGTGTTTACGATTGTGAGCGTGAGCGTGTTGACGGGACCTCCCATTGCGGGCGCGTTGGTGTCTGCTTTGGGGGGTAGGTATTTGGGTGCGCAGATGTTTGCGGGGAGTAGTTTGTTGTTGGGGATGGTGTTCATTTTCTCGGCGAGGGAGGCGAAGAGGAAGAGGGTTGGAGGGTCGTTTTGGTCAAAGGTTTAGGATGACATTGTCCCGTCTGTTTCCTTCATCTGTAGCTCGAGATCGAGCATCTTGGATACGTGTCTCGTCTCTTCTTTCACAAGTTTCCTTATCAGAAGCCACAGAGACTTGGTGATATTACCTTTCTTGATAGAGCGTGACCAAAGAGATAGATCGAATCAGATGGCGATCCACAATGGCGGTTCCAAGTAGGTAGAAACGCCTTCAAAGACGGCATATTGGCATTAAATGAAGTACCGGGTGTCTTGTAGTGGTGTCGACGACGCTAGGATGGCAAGTCTTTCGTGGGTCCGAGTGTTGTGATGTGTTCTGCCGGCACCTCGGCTGACAATGCCAGTGTCATTTGATGGAGTTTAAACCAAGAATCATCAGAAGGCTTGGGGGGGGGGGGGGTGGGAGTCGATACTGGCAATGTCGCTGATGGGCGGTTCGGATATTCTATTCTATTCGTCGAAGGGTACTGTTGAGAAGAGGACAAATAAGATCAATGAAACACAGACACTAAGTGACGCTATATCCTGGCTTTTGAAGAAGAAGAACAACTGATTAAATGTGCGTGGAGGATGCCTTTGCTATACCTTGAGTCGATGGTGAGCGAAGGAAGCAACTTCAATGCAGAAGGCAAGGTCACGATATTGCCACACTGTGATCCTATTTCTTCGTGTTCATGTTAGCTGAAGACTATCAGCAAGCAGGATGCTATTTCTGCCACCCGACTTTGGTTGTGTTGAGCAGAGTGGATCAAACCCCTAGTCTTGTCCTCGAAGATTCGAAGACTTGTCATGTGCAAGGTTTCCATGAGTATGGCTGTACGGCTCCCTCTCATGTCATGGCGAAAGGAAGTCGATGATGACTAAACATATTCCATGCACCTCGGCAAGATCTAACCGCCGCGTGGGCGACTTCGGGGGCCAAGGCGATTGGATAAGCTTAAGTGCATCCTCATCTCACTCTCCCATCCTAAGATGTCGCATTGACAGCTGTCCAACGAGTCCCCGTCAGAAGCTCCCCTTCCCCCCCATACCCAATGATGATGGACGTATTCCAATGCGAAGGCCTAGCAGACAGCTGCCACGCACGGGCTGTCCAGTAGCTCCGAATACCGTGACAAGTCCGGACACTGACACTGACACTGACACTGACCTTTCGGTGACCAGTCGATCTCTCAATCGCACCTAGTGTGGGGGAGGAGGGATCTGTCGGAGGGGGGCTCCATTTATCGGAGCTCAGCGGCGAGTCGTGATTCACCGTGACAAGCTCCAAAGATCCATCGCATTGCGTCTCTGGTGTCCCCCATCTTTCTTTGCCGTCCCTCGTCAATCTGATTAATCAGCCGGGCCAGTCCGTTGCCGCCGCCGTCACTGCCGCACATCTTTCAGATATCTCACACTTTTAGAAGCCTCAAATACTTTTTCACCAACCTGTTGTAGAAACTTGCACTCACTGCCTTATTTGGTTTTGGTACGCAGTATACGTCATACACATCCTACATCGGTGCCCATCACCCCAAAACCCCCACGTAACACCCAAGGACCCCGCGATAGCTTCACCGCCCGCTTGAGCCAGAACCTCAGGAAACCTCGGCATGGGTTCTCAAACTTGGAACCTCCCCGCACCAGTCGACGACCCGGACTCTATGCTGTCCCGCAAGTTCGGGCGGGAGACCGTCAACTACTTCGCCGGCAGCGTCCTCAACCGCGTCGGCTGGCTGCGTACCGACCACACCTTTATCCGGTCCGCCTTCCAGTCAAAGGACACCAAATTCATGCTCCTCAAGGACCTCAGCCCCCTCACCAGCGCCCCGACGAGAGTGCAGTTTGTCTCGTGCGATGACGTCAAGCCCCTCACCACCGAGGACCCGTTCGGGCCGTCCGAGGAGGATCTGATCAAGAACTTTGACTCGACGGTCACGAAGCCGCTCATCATTTTCCTGGGTCTCGAGGAGAGCGCAAAGGTGCCGTTTGAGTACAAGGGGCTCAAGGGACGACCATGGTTCGCTGTGGATGTGACGCCCAAGGGCTCCTACGCCGATGCCGCCAACCAGCTTATCGAGGCTCAGTCGAGCAAGGGGTATAAGTTCCTCGAGGGAATGAGGCCGATGACGCTTGAGCCGGATCATGGTAAGGAATCTTACTCTCTTATAAGAATCTGTTCATACATCAGTAGCTAATGAACAATTGTCAGCTGGCATCTACGCCCAGGCCCGTTCCATCGCAGACTGGAACACACGCAACAAGTTCTGCGCCGGGTGCGGACAGCCGTCCCTGTCGGGGAACACGGGCTACAAGCGCCTGTGTCCCACAACCGACCTCGCCGGCTCCGACACGCCCCGCGAGCGGGCCGAGTGCGCCACCCGCAAGGGCGTCTCCAACATCAGCTTCCCGCGTACGGATCCGACCATGATCGCCGCCGTCGTGTCCTCGGACGGCACCAAGGTGCTCCTGGGCCGAAACAAGCGCTATCCGCCCAACTGGTACAGCACGCTGGCCGGCTTCATCGAGCCGGGCGAGTCCATTGAGGAGTCTGTCCGACGCGAGGTACTCGAGGAGGCCGGCGTGCGCGTGGGCCGGGTGGTGATTCATTCGAGCCAGCCGTGGCCGTACCCGGCGAGCTTGATGATTGGGGCCATCGCGCAGGCGCTGCCCGACGGGGAGACGATCGATCTCGGCAACGACCCCGAGCTGGAGGACGCGCAGTGGTTCCCGCTCGAGACGGTGCGGGACGCGCTCAAGTTTGGGGTTAGCGGGCTCGGTGAGCCTGCGCCGGAGGGGTACAAGGAGGGCGGGCTGAGATTGCCTCCTCCGGCGGCTATTGCTAACCGGTTGATGACTGCTGTTGTTGAGGGTTATGCGACTGCCGCGCCAAAGATGTGAGGTGGGTGATGATGGAGCTGCTCCCGGGTGTTGGGTTCGCGAATGTGTTTAGATTTCATGATAGACATGAATGAATAGACTTGTCCCCATGTTTGCGTTCTTTCTGGGATTTCCAAGTCGAGAGAGAGTTGATTATGAGCTGAGCGTCAGCAGCACTCTGGGGTCGAGTGAGCGAGTAAGTGATTTCAACAGATATGCGGTAGACCTTAAGATAGGTAAATGCAGAAGAGTGTCGAGAGGAGGGTTGCTGTCATCAGAAATTCCTTACTTTCAAGACTTGGAGAATGAGAGGTATCTGAGTATCTGCCTCAAGCAAGCGTCGTATGACATCAAGGTCCTCAACCATACTGAACTCGGTAACAGTGGAGGAGGCAGTAGAAAGGGAGCCGGGCCTGCCCGGGGCCGTAGGGCTGAGCAGCCACTAGCTCGAGGTCCCTGAAACCCCTGTATGACCCCCACCACACACGCAGCGGACAGCGTGTCAGCGCTACAGGCTGGAGTACAGGCCAGCACAAGCTCCAACGCAAGTTTGAGCTACAGCTCGCGTGGACAAGCTCCATCCACTTCCTCCATCCACATCCCGCCAATTGCGCCGCCATCGAAACCCTCCACCTGTCCCGAGCTCCAAACGAACTCCCAAAACCTCGCTTGTCCAAATCGTCGCAAACCAGGTGCCGCTCGCCAGTCGGTCATTTGCCTGCCATGTATCACCTAGCCAAGGGGTTATACCTCCTAGCTACTAGCAAAGAAGGTTCGCGCACAATGAACCGCAACCCATTGTCCACGGCCGCCCTCCATAGCTAATCTCTTCCCCCTTCTACAGAGTACTCCGTCATCCTCCTGGGCCTCGACAATGCCGGCAAGACAACCTTCCATGAGCAAGTCAAGCACTTCTTCCTCGAGTCGCACCCGGACCCGAAACTCAAGACGGTGCCGACGGTGGGCCAAAACGTCTCGACGATATCCCTGCCGGACATGTACCTCAAGATCTGGGACGTCGGCGGGCAGCACTCGCTGCGCCGCCTGTGGCAGAGCTACTACGCCTCGGCGCACGCCATCGTCTTCATCATCGACTCGACCGACATTGGCGACGGCAACCTCGAGCACGATAACGGTTCCGGGCGGCTCGACGAGTGCCGCCTCGTGCTCGAGGACGTGCTGCAGCACTCCGAGACCGAGGGCGTGCCCGTCCTGGTGCTGGCCAACAAGCAGGACCGCGAGGATTGCGTCGAGGTCGTGAGGATCAAGGAGGGGCTTGTGAAGAAGGTCTTTGAGGGCGAGAAGGCGAGCAGTATCCGCGACTCGAGGGTGTTGCCTGTTAGTGCGCTGACGGGGACGGGCGTCAAGGAGGCGGTGGAGTGGGTGCGGTCAAGGGTGAAGTGGAATAAGGAGTCGAGGCCGCCGGTGATGCGGTAGACGTCGTCGCTGGCTTATCGTCATTTACGAGGCATGATAGTACACGGGTAACTTCTTTCTAGACTGGGCGTAGATGGAGTTAGGGGCTCAAAGTCAAGGGACGAACGGGTGAAGCCACGTTGGTCACTTGGCTCCTTTGTGCAGAGCATGGGTTTTTGAGAGCGTATTTGGCTGGGTATCATTTTACATTTTTTTGGTTAATCTTCCTCTGCTTGACTGGCCGTGTTCTATGCGTCCACCACTCTGTCATTCTCCGCCGAGAGTAGCTCTGATATGAGACCACCCTTGTCCCTCCGCTTCGCATCGTCCGCCAACCTCTCGTCCACTATCGTCGAGAACTCCTTTGCCTTTTGCAGCGCCACGTTACCGCAGTGCAGCAGCGTCACCGCCTCGACTGGGGTGCCTCCCAGCTTGGAAATCTGGCTAATCTCGCCGTGCTTGTTCAGGCTGACCGTCACGCTGCTCGTCCGCAGCTGCTCCTCGAGCCAGTTTGCGTCGACGAGCGTAATTTCCCCCTCGTCACCGTAGAAGCTGAACGTCACGCAAAAGGGGCTGTGCAGCCAGCTCAGGGGCACGGGTTCGCGCTCGGCGGGCGTGAAGATGGTGAGGCTCTCGCCCTCGTTGGAGGTGTCGGGCTTGCGGAAGTGGCGCAGGGCGGCGACGACGGCGAGACAGGCCGCGTCAGTGAGGTTGCCGTCGTGGGAGAGGACGTGGACGTCGGCGCGGACGGACCATACCTTTTTGCCCGCGACGAGGCAGAGGGACTCCGTGTCGAGGGCGCCCGAGCGGCGGACTGTCTTCTCGAGGAGGCGGGAGAGGAGTACCTCGGCCTCGGTTGGCCGGTTAACCTCGAAGGCCGGGGAGGCCATGGGGCTGAGCTCGGTGGTGATTTGAAAGACGCCCTCAAAGGGGCGGTCTGAGTAGGGCACCGTCACTTCGGCGGAGACTTTGACGAGAACTCTGTGATGGATGTTAGCAAATACTGAATCTGGCGAGTGTAAGAATAATATAAGTTGACTGACCTCGTCTTGCCGAGTTCGACGTTGGCCACTCCATACTCATCGCCAAAAGTGAGCTGGACTTTTCGATATTGGTCGAATTCCCGGCCATCAAGTCTCAAGTTCTCCTTAAGAGCTTGTGTGACAAACGCCTTTTCATTCGCTGACGGCTCGGCTTCCCTGGGCATCTTGATGGCTGAAATTGGTAAAATGTGAGAGCAATTTCAAGACTGAGAATCTCATCGACTCAATAGTGACCTGCAGGTGTTCAGTGAGGTCAATCGCATTGGTGGGGCGCTTGCAAAAATTCTGCCGGGCGGTCGAAGCCTTAAAGTGTTGCCTCCCCTGCAGCGGGACCCACTCAGCCAGCTGCGCGCCGTCGCATGCATTTGCTGGGGGGACCAAACGTCGATTGTCAATCTGCAGATTAACACCTTCAGCCTCCTTCAACATCCACCAATCTTCAATTCTCACAACCCGTCGCAACCTGCCAAGATGACCACCGCCCATCGTCCCACCTTCGATCCGGTACGTTCTTTATTATGTTTTTCCCACTACCATCATTATCCTTACTAACAATTCATACTAGGCCAGAGGCAAAGAAGCTCTCCGCGGCCCGGCCTACCACCAACGCCTCCTCCCAGCGCACACCCAACTCAAGTTCCGCCAAGCAGGCCAGGGCGGCAACGCGGACGAAGAATCTAGCGACCTCAGAGCCGAGCTCCTCGCCGCCGAGGCTGCCCACTTTGCCAAAAAGAACGGCGGCGCGCCTCCCCCGTCCGCAGACGACGATGCCGACGCGCCCTCGGGCGGCGTAAAGCGTGCCCTCGAGGCCGGGTCGCAAGCAGACGCAGAAGAGGACTTTGAAGCGAAGCGGAGGAGGATATTAGAAGAGTCGCGGGATGTTGATGCATCTTCAGACGAGGAAGGGGACGAAGAGGACGATGACGACGACGACGATAGTGACGAGGACAGCGACGACGAGGAGGCGGAGCTGCAGCGCGAGATGGAGAAGATTCGACGCGAGAGGGCGGAGAAGAGGGAGAAAGAAGAGAGGGAGAGGGCTAAGGTCGAGGAGGAGGCGCGGGAGAGGGACATTGCGCTGGGTAACCCACTGTTGAATAAGCCTGATTTCAACATGAAGAGGCGGTGGGACGACGATGTCGTTTTCAAGAACCAGGCGAGGGGAACGGAGGAGAAGGGCAAGGGCAAGGAGTTTGTCAACGTGAGTATTTACCCCCCCCCCCCCCTTCCGCTCTTGGTCCAAGCACACCTATAATGGGTGAGCGCAATTGGTGTAATGATGGGATTGCTGACTTGCGTATAGGATCTCCTGCGCTCCGACTTCCACAAGCGGTTTATGAGCAAGTATGTTAGATAGATACCCACCGCCGATTATAGTGGCAAATGCGGCTCTTTTTCTTCTACCCTTTTGATCGATGGAACCGGTTACGAGACGCTACGAAGGCAATGAATAGGACGGTGCTCGAGTTGCCTGGCGAGGCCCATCGAGTCCATCCTTGGCCCCAGTATGGACTGGACGCAACAGAGGTTGCTCATTCATAAGCGTCCAGCCAAGATATTCCGTGTCGCCTCGTCATGTATGTCACCTAGGATCGACCAACGGACACAACGTCAACGTTCTCACTTCAGAGGTCACCATTATTGGTTATCTATCTTGACACCCATGCCTAGGCACACTACAGATTTTGCAACTTTTGGTTCACAGCACACTTGAGGTATATCCCGCGATCATGTGCCCGATTCCAATCTCAACTACATTGGATTCTTTCTAAAGTGTGATGTTTCTCACTTGCGAATTACGTCCAGCGCCAATTGGAATCGCCGGCATCTTGCCCCTGAGCGGGCCGCACAAGTGGATCGAGCCCGGATGGATAGTTGTGAGACTCCGTCCGGTACCCATGGTCTTGGCTCCGACGGCGAAGGGTCATCCGGGAAGACTACTAGACCCAACGTATATAAAAGCGGTTCTCGGTTTCGGTTTCCGTGTACAGAGAAGCCTATTCAATCATTTTTCTTCGGTCCAACGATGCCAAGCGGGCAGAGCATTAAAAAGAGCTTTCGGAACGCCTGCTTATCGGATGATTGCTTGGAATAGGAGCTCTTCTCGATAGGTCAAATGCGTCAAGACCGTGCATCTAGCTTGAGGCTTACCGCTGGAGGCTGGTGAGACGTTGATTCTCAATTCTACTTACTTTCCTCTATGCAGAAATACCATTATGATTCATTCGAGCTCATTCCCAAGTATCACGATACTTCTAGATATGAAGAACATGACACATGAAAGGCGATGAGCATCATCACGCTCACATCGCATCACCAAATAGCCCAGCAACATGAACCCCCAGACAGTCGCACTCATCACAGGAGCCAAGGGCGGCATCGGCCGCGCCTCTGTCGATATCCTAGCTTCCGCTCACCACTACCACGTCATCATCGGGTCTCGTAGTCTCAAAGCAGGCCAAGAGGTAGCCGACTCCCTCACGTCTCGCGGCCTATCCGCGTCCGCCATCCAACTCGATCTCACATCCGACAACGACATCCTTGCAGCGGCCGCCTCCATCTCCGAAACCTTTGGGAAGCTCGACGTCCTCGTCGACAATGCCGGCGCGAACTTTAACATGAACGACAGCCTCTCACTGCGGGACCAGTGGACGTCCACCTTCGCCACAAACGTCGTCGGCACCGCCGTTCTGACCGACGCGCTCCTCCCGCTCCTCCGCAAGGCCCGGTTCCCGCGCATCGTCCTCGTCAGTTCTACCAAGGGGTCCATGGCTGCCGCCCTGGACGGGAGCGCGGGGTTCTACGACGTCGCGGCCAAGGCGTACGACGCCAGCAAGGCTGCGGTCAATATGTTGGCCGTCAGCTATGCCAGGTTGTTGAAGGGCGACGGGGGCGTTGCAAATGCCGTGTGCCCGGGGCTGATTGAGACGAAGCTGACGGCGTTTATGGGGAAGGATCTGCTGGCTAGCCATGGCGCTGCTTCGACTGAGTTGGGGGCGAAGAGGATTGTGGAGATGGCTACGCTGGAGGAGGGGAGTGCTGTTTCGGGAACCTTTTCAGACAGAGATGGGGTTGTGCCTTGGTGAGCGCTGACGACATTGTGGTGTTGTGCTTGGAACTGTAGGCAAGCTCGCCCTTGCAACAGTCATATCTGAGGATTTGAAGGCTCGAGCTAGATGCTAGGCGTGTGACAGCCCGCCCATTCTGACAGAAATAGCTTAAAGATCTGGAGATTGGAAAGAATACAAGAAAGGCTGGCATGGGACTTTCCATGCCTAACTTACCAAGTGCTTCATCTCTCGTTCCTGCCGCGCCAGCTATGTCAAACTACGATGGCCTCATATTGGGAAGGGTCGCGAGTATGCAATGGTCGTTCCTGAGACTTACATGAGGTAGGTAATGCCCACGGAGTTTCCAATGGTAAGACTATAGGCCGACTGAAAACTTGACCGGCAAGTTCTGAAATAGAAATGCCATCTCTGTTCCTCTCCCAACATAATCCCCTTTTACTGCTTTTCTCTTGACAACTGCCCAAACAACCCAACTCATCTCTGCCTCTTTCAAATTAACCAGAAAATACATTATTCAAAGCCATCACAAACATACATCATGTCAGTCCCACCCAGCTATTCCGCGTCCACGAGAACTTCGGACACCCGATGGACCCCAGTCGAAAACTAGGAAGTGTACACCATGAGACGTCCACGCGATGGTGCTCGATTCATCATCCGATGCTTGGAACACCGAGAAATTGAATGTGTTGACTGCCCGCAGCCCCGCGACGCCCACGCAGCGGAGTACCTCAGATCTCTGAGGCCTATGCCCCGGCCGCCGAGGGAAGGGCCAAGCGATACCGATCTCGCACGCGCACGACGGCCGATCTACTTTTTCTACTCCGGGCGACGTCCAGAACTCGGAGACCCCTACGTGTCTAACAATAATGACGACGCGCTGAGTGATATCGAAGGAGAGCTTGATTTCCCCATGTCAGATGACGATTCTTCAGATTGGAGCCTCAACAGCTGTCCGGGACTATCTGATGGTTCCTCTGCCGATCACGAACTCAGTCCGAAAATGCAAATCAGCCCAATATTGGATTGTCCGAGCATTCAGTATCCGGAGTTCGAGTACCCAGAGAGGCCATACCAGTCGGCTGATAGACGACTTGCAAAGCGGTTTATCAACATTCATGACCACACGGACTTTCTCATTTATATCCAAGGCCTCTGTCGTCCAGAGACCCGGACTGGCAGCTGGGCATACATCTTCAAGCCCTACCATCTCGGAGGAGCCGTGACTGGACGCCTGGAGAGATTGGGCCCATACGGCGACCTTCGCACGCCTGTGAGGCACAGAGCCGAGCTTCGCGCAGCCCTCGCGGCACTGACGATACCCGCCGACTTCAGACACGGCTTCAGATCACTCACAATTGCGACCACTCGCGCCTGGCTTGTAGAAGACGGGGAGCTGTTGGTTGAACAGGCATGGGACGAAATGAGTGAAGCAGGATCCAACCCTCTGCCGGGCTGGGCAGAGGCTCGCCACACCCCAGAATTTGCACACGTATCCGACGGAGACCTTTGGTTTGCCATGAAACGACAGATTCAAACTCTCTATTCGATTGATGACCCTCAAAATGCGGTGACTGTTCAGTTTCGCCTGATCAATTTCGACTTCAATAGAGATTGCCAAGGAGAGGCCTTGGGGGCTCTCGAAAATCCTCGGCGACCATATCGCTTCAGGGAGCCCAAGCCCAAGCAGGAGTTGTAATAGAACAGTAATCACATGTACTTTACACAGCATACATACGACCGGTGACAGGCGTTGGAAAGCATCGTGGGAATGGAAGTAGGGGTGGACGACTGGCGCAAGGAGAAGGGGTTTCTTGAGCTGATTTCGCTATTCCGGTGGTTCCTCAATAGGTAGCTTCAATGAACACCCGTTTCACTTGCAACACATTTCACGAGAACTTCACCACAGTTACTAAAGAGAGGATTCATCATGTCAAAGAGCTGTTTTGAGACTCTATAACGGCCCATGCCGGCTACTGAAGCGTAATAAGTCTACCTTTTGTGTGGTCCCACAACTCGCCATCACCCCTTCCTCCCTTTTGCTCTTTTGCACCTCCATTTCTTCGGAGTGAGTCTTTCCTCATAACGGAAAGAAGGAATTCGCCAACAAGGGCCAATTGATCCGGGATAATAGTCAGAAGAGCGAAACCCGACTCGCGATACTGGAGTCTTCCCTTCAAACCTTTGAGCAGGAGTAAACTTCTTCTCCTTGCTCAGTAGTGATCGGCGCGATTATCCGCCCTCCGAGACCTGGTAGGTCGAACATTGTGCCGACCAAGCCTGCCAACCGTCTCCTCCGTCGCACGCGAACCAGTAGCACCATCAGCACCACCACCGGCACCAGCACGAGGCCGACCGCCAGGCTTCTAGCCCCAACGACTGCCCTCGCGCTCAGCTTCCATGCGACGCATCCGCTCCTCCTCCTCGTCGATGCTAATAGCCTCGCTGCGGCGTCCCTTCCGCCGACTTCGCTTGCCGTCGTCACCTCCTCCTCCTCCGCTACTCTCGTCCCTGCTGCGTTTCGCGCCCGCCAGGCCCGCAAGTCCAGCCATGCGCTGCGTCTCCTTCAGCAGACGCTCGCGATTCCGTGCCTCGCGCTCCAGGGCGTGAGCATCTTTCGTGGGGACGCTGGGCGCGGACTTGCTGTTGACCGAGGCCTGGGAGTCTCGGCGTCCGCCGCCGTCCTGTCTGTCGGACGACCTGCCGGACTTTGAGCCCACGCCCTTGATCTCGAGACCGGAGCCACCGCTACGAGGGCCGGTGGGCGGGTTGAACTCCCTGTCAACGGGTGTGGGCGGCTCCGCTGATTGCTTCCGGCTGCTGCGGTGACGGTGTTCTCGGTCCCTATGCTTGTCGCGCTTCCGATCCTTCTCGCGGTCGCGGTCCTTGCGGTCTCGATCACGATCGTAGTCGCGATCACGCTCTCGTTCCCGATCCCTGTCCCGATCTCCTCGGTCTCGGTCGCGGTCCCTCTCTCTGTGCGAGCGGTGGCTGGACTTTCTATGGTAGTCGTCGTAGTCGTCGTCCCGGTGCTTGTTGTCCTTCTCCCGATCACGGCGCTTCTCATCGCGGTCTCTGCGGCTCCTATGGCTAGACCGCTTCGAGTCGCTGGGCGACGCCGACCTGGACCTCTCTTCGTGCCCGTCGTCTCTGGAACGGGACTTGACGTCGTCTTCGTCATTGTATGAGGTGTGCTTTCTGCTCTTATGCTTCCTGCGACGATACTCATCGTCTCGATCGTCAACGACAGATCTCGATTCCGAACGTCTACGCCGGCGCCGGTGGC